TGATGATGATGATGAGCACAGGCACAACACACACCACACTGAGGAGAAGAAGAGCAAACACACAATACACTGACAACCACCGTAACCATAGCAACAACCACTGACAACCATAACCATCATTACAGACATCACAATGATGTTCACACACACACACACACACACACACAGAGAGAGAGTAACACGCATATAGACACAGAAACTCACACTCACACAGAGAGTAACACGCATATAGACACAGAAAAACACACACACACAAAGAAATAAACCAAACACACACACACACACACACACACACACACACACACACACACTCAGACAGAAACACACACATACACACAGAGAACAAAACAGAAACACAGACTGAAACAGTAAACACACACAAACACAGAAAAAACACACACGTACACAAAAATAAAGACACACACAGACAGATATAACCCATAAACACACACACACACAGATAGACGGAGAGAGAAAATAACACACATATGCAGACACAGAAACTCACATACACAAAATTAGACACACACACACACACACACACAAACACACACACACACACACACACACACACACACACACACACACACACACACACACACACACACACACACACACCACACACACACACACACACACACACACACATACACACACACACAGCTCTTCATTAGCTGCTCGCTAACCGCCGGCTGATTCCCGTCTGGCTCTGGATGGCGGGGGGCCGCGCGCCGTTACCTGTGTCCGGTGTGCCGGTGTGTCCGGTATGCTCCGGTGTGTCCCGGTGTTCCTCCGTCTCCAGCTCCGTTCTCCCGTTCGTGTTTGTGTTTCTCTTTATCAGCTGCTTTCATGAACCTCCTCACTCCAAACATCCGCCATCTTCCCTCCGCTCAGGAGCGCGCACGCACACACGTCACGCCAGTCTCGGAGCGCGCACGTTTGGGCGACGTCCGCTACAAAAAAAGGTGTTTATTGGAGTAATTCTGTTTCTAGTGAAGTTTCTCCGTTTAAACCCGGTTCTGTTGTTTTTTTCTCATAATAACAGACGCGTTAGCTGTTCTGTAATAATCCAGCAGGCGTCTGCATCCACCACTAATAACCATAATACATCATATCTGGGAAATAATGTCGCTGCTCCAGCCAAAGCTGCTGTTGTAGAGTAAAACTGCTCCTCAATAACCCAGATTCTGTCAGCTTTCACACGACACACGTTTTGCAGCAGTAGCAGCTTGATTCTTTAACCATTTATGTATCAAGAAAGATTTACGTCACATTTACTATCGTCAAGCATTTCTTATTTACAGCTTTATAAAGTGATTCAATTCTGTGAGTCGGCTCGTTTTCAACGGATCTCAAAGCTTTGAACAATGTGATTCACTCCAGCGAGTCTGTTCGTTCCATAGACCGTAAAATATAGGTTTGCTCTAAACATGTACGTAGCTTGAAAGCTTTATTCAAGTGAATCGGTTCGTTCGGACTGCTGTTGTAAGTGAACTCCATCCATCACTTGAAATAAACAAGCTAATTGATAAACATATCTGATGAAGAGGTTTTCTCGCATGTGGCAGATTCTGCAGATTTAATGTGTGAAATCAAAATTGACAAGTTTATTTTGCTAGCTCATTGTTTTTCTTTAGGTGAATCATACATGCTAATCGAGTTAATCTACTGAACAATACTGTTTTGTTCATCTTCAGATCTTTAGTCTGAGCATCTGCTTCCACACATGGAGTGGCGCTCCTGTTGAAGTCAACCTGAGCGTTTCCATAGCAACTGTATATTAATATTCTTAACCACACCCCTCTCAACAGTTAGTTTGCCATCAGTGAATGTGCTGGAAAGAAAGCCCCGCCCCTAATCAATATTCAGTTTCAGCTGGAAGCACATCAACATACTGCAATACACGACTAATATCCTAATAGAGCTAATGTCTTGCTTAGCTCGTCACGTGAGGATCTGGCGTTAGCGCTGACCGCCAGGAAAACACAGATTAAAGGCAAACAGAGGTAAAAATGAAAGAGGCTTTACTGTCAGACATAAAAACAGTTTCCATCTGATTCCATTAGAGTTTCTAGTCTTGGTGATTATTAACAGTGAATTAGCGTTAGCTGTCGTAAACACGAGCCACCGACACAAGCACAGACGATACAGCACGTTTAATAAGTTTCCTTCTACTAATACATTAAACAGACTCTAGGCCAATGTTAAACGGGAGTCCCATCATGTTTGTTCTGGCTGTCCTCTGGCACTTCCTGTAGAGGCCTAAGCTCTTCCTGTGCCTTGAGCGGCGGTGTGAAGCCCATGTTGGCTGCTTTGGTCTGTGTTTCTGCAGCCACCGGCCGACCCTCGTTATCCAGAACTCCCTCTCCGTGCAGCCAGTCCATCTTCTGCCGGTGCTGGCGGACCGCGGCGTCTACTCGCGCATCAATCATAGCCTCGCTCAGGACCCCGTCCTCCGAGGAGTACGCCGCCGCCTGCACGCACACACACACACACACAC